TATACGTTGATTTAAGAGATGTGTAACAGATCGGTCTGTTACAGATTTCTTAAATATTAGTTTGCTAGGAGAGGTTACTTCAACATTGTAAGGGGACCAGAGCTACTGTACAGCTCCATGTAACCTTGATTGATTAGCTCACATTTCAGTATATTATGAATTTTTCTGGATAGTTAGGCACTTTTCTTATCCAAATCGGTTGGGATAGTATTGTCGTATTAGTACGTCGCATCCCACGTATCGATGCTATGTTGTACTAAATCAGTCAAGCCTACTTACTTAATTCAATATTATTATGCACAAAGATATCCAAATATTATTGGAGGATAGTTAATAATTCTTGTATCGTTCCTTGGTCTGCCTGTAGATTGATCTCAACATGTTTCTCGACAAATACTTTGGTTTCGTCAAGTTCTTTTAGTATAGTTACATATGTAGTAAATTTAATTCACGTGAATTATTTATATTATTTAAATTTCCCAGGAGCATTCCTGCCCATTTATTTGTTTCCACCATTTCCGAATTCGCTTGCTTTGAACTAATTATTCCACAATATATTTTTAACTTCCATGTTGGAATGCACCTCATTTTTTTAATTGCTGATAGCTTCTGGTTGAGTCACTTCAGTGAATTCTGTGCATTGCGACGAATTATACTTGAATGAGCCAGTCTTATGTTTATAATCCTAAGGGTCGTAGCAGAACTCACAGATAATTCCTATGAAATAATCATCCGGGTAAAGTACATGGTCCTCCTCAAAGTGGACGTTCAAATCAGGATAAGCATAAAGTAGCCTTCAGATGTATTTGATGTTTTCGACCCGAGTTTGAAGTTTTTCATTTGCACTGGTAACGTAAATTTGTCGCCTGTCAAAAGTTTGGGAGGCTTCTCCACAAAGTTAGCTTTTCGGTCAATTAAACCGGCTGCTGTATAAGACTGGTGGCATCGAATATTTTCATGTAACCCCTTGTTTCCTTAAATTTTCTTGAAATTTTGACTCAACAATCTGCTTCAGAGATGGGCAATCAGAAAGCGGTTGAAATGATTGATTTGAGCACTTAATTATCATCTCAGCTACTTTATCGATTGCAGTGGTATATGGTAGGGTGTTTTGTCGCTCATCCTTGCAATTTTCATCTCTCCAGTTACATAACACAAACCAAAAATCTGTTCCGACTTATGTCTAGTCACTCCACTTTAAACCTTTATCCTCTTATTCTTTGGAAATTAATTGACCTTTCTTTCCATGGGGGTGTGACTACTCATAACCGCGTACCAGATCTTAAATTCTGTAGCTCTCATGATGAAACTGCACTATTCCATGAAGACGTTGAAATGGGTTTGGGAAGCAATATCTTCTCACTTTCCCCTGCTGCATCTCACCGGTATCTGTTTTATTGACAAATTTACACCTAATTTTCTGAAATTGTTGTCGCTAGTATTTCTGTACCGTCGTTATATCTTAAATCGTCATCTGGTAAATTAATTGATGTACAAATGGATCTGGTCAATATGCTTGACACGATCCTTAACGGTACCAGAGCCATTCCGGACTTTAAGGTTATAACGATATTTATAATAATTTATTCTCTTGTTCATCTATGTACATGGGATTTCCAGCCTATACTACTGTTCCTCGAGTACAGCTTCGGTTTTAGAGTTAATATGCCTGCAACCTATATTTAATTATCTAATTTGAGGTTACTGTGACGACAAAATGTGTGCACATTATATATCCTGTACAGTTACATATTATGCCATCACCACCACCAAGATTATCCAACCTATTTACACTTTTTCCCGCTTTAGTTCGATGATTTCTTTCTGTACTTTCACTCTATACAACTAACTTTTTCCATACAAATTATGTTCATGCAGTACGTACTAATGTAAGTACGCAGCATGACCGTTAAAAAACCATGATGAGAGCAATTAAGGCCAGAATTACATGTACAATTTTACGCTTTGTTCCTGGTTATCCCTTAAATTATAGACGGCCCTTTCCTCTTAGGCTGTAATTTTGTAGGCTGTCCATTCTTTGGTATTTCGACCTCATATAAGACTGGATTACCGATTTTTAAAGTTTTGAATTTGACACCTTTGTCGAACTGATCTACGTTCCTGCATGTTTATTTTCATGCTCGCACTCGCTCTATCCAAGGCAGTCTGTACCCGTGAAAGACTGGAATGCGCGATAAGTGATCTTATTAGTTAAATCAGTTCTCCCTCATATGGTGATTTCGGATAAGTTCCCCAGAATTTGACTCCTTGGACAAGGAGCGGATGAATTTCTCGTCGTCAAAGTTAAATTGTTAACCTCGCTCACAATATTTTTCTAACGACAGTAAAGCTGATGGTACTTTCCAAATATAACAAGATCTAATTTGAACAAGTTATTTCTATTTAGTCGGGCGAACTAAGGAGCATTATAAGTAAAAAATAATGTTAATCATAATGAATTTTGCTACTTCCAGATTTCATCTAAAAAATTGGCGTTCCTTTCCGATTTGAATCTGTCGTTGCTGATCAAAATATGTATAATAGACGATGGATCGATTCTGCGATAGAGAAAAGCTGTTGAACCATTTTTCCTTTATTCCCCTTCCATAATTTTCGATGCATTAGAATAGGGTGAATAAAATTGGAGATTTGAAAGTTTATCCAAATTATGCTAGGCTCTCATGGGTAGCCTTTGTACATTTTGATTTCTCGTTTGGTGTATTATTTTAGATAGAGCAGTTGGAACAGGTTGGCACTTCCTTAAGATACTCTGTAATTGTGTCCGACGGTTTGCTGATCATCTAACAACAAAAATGACATCCTGATTGCATTTCGTTTTATTTATCTTGGACAAGTTGGTTTCTCATTTTCGTCATAAGCTTGTAAGATCATGAAAGTCAAACTGAAGCGAACAATTCTTAGTAACTTATGTACATCATACTAATGAATCAAATTATATTAGTTGGGATGTTTGAATTGCATCAAATGTCGCAGAATCCACATTTCCGGCATTATCAGCCAAAATAATTGTCTCATTTTCCTCAGTGTACACGAGTATTGTCCACTGAACTTCTGCAATAATGCCTTCACGCGGAGACGTATGTAAATAAGTGTTGCACGAATCACTCGTAAAATTTTAGTTACACATTGAACCAACACAAATTTAAATTTTTTAAGTGATGTCCAAAACACGAAGAAAATCTTAATTTAGAGACTTTAGTGATAAGGAATAAGAAAGTCAACAGTTATGCTGGCATATAAACATAATGGGAAAGGTGCATACATAAAAATTCACTTTGTAAATCAATTCATTCAAATCAAATCCACGATACAATATGTGGTAAGAAAATTATTAAGTGAATTGGATTACTCCAAATATTTGGTTCAGGTCCTGCTAAATTATTGGTGCTAATTTCAGTCTCCCGTCGGGTCTCAGAAAAGTCATATATTTTCTGTGAAGGCTATTGCAAGAAAACTCAGTATTCTGCCCTTCTTTACTTCTTACGAGGGAACCTCTTATAATGCCCGGAGCTCCCAGCATAACCACTATGTGCATTCGACGTAGATTTTAATACTACTCCGATGATGTGACAAAATTTCCGTGTCAAAATGACATTTCGTCAAGTGGTGACGACTTTAGTGACGCACCGAACGGTCACTTTCGCCATGAAGAGGAACGCTTTTCACCACTCGCTCCTCACTCATCTCACTTAAATCTCAACCCATTTACTCATTGACTCATTGAGTAAACTCGCATCCAATTTAACTGTGTTGACAATATGATCCTTGTTTACTATTTGTAGCCTTTTAATATTTTTTTTTTAAATATTCGGAGTTTAAAAATTATAGAACGTCTATAATTGTATCTATTTGTGAGGCTGTTCTTAAAATCGCCAAGGACAGGTATTCGGGAGATTTCAACGCTTCATCAATTCCAGTTAACAATGTTGAAATTGTCGACCGGGTTTTGCGTTTTGTGGAAGATTTAGTTAATAATTCAAATACGGACTTTGAATCTTCTATTGCTTTAGAATTTGACTATGATTGTGATATTGACACATATGTCGAGGGATACGATTTAATTAGTGATACAATAAATGAATTTCATGAGGATTCTGAAGATGAGTAAGACGTCGAGGAAGCTTCTGCAAGTCTGTCGCAACGAGTCTCACAGAAATGGGAGGAAGAAGATGTCGACGGTGTCAATTTTACCTATCAAGAGCTGGTCAATATTCACATTAGCAGCAGACATATTGAAGGCAATGCTTGTGAATTTGTCCAAATGGTGAATCAGAAGAGGGCACAAATAAATTCGTAAATTGTAAAGATATAGGAAAATCCCTTGTGAGTAAATGGGTTGAGATTTAAGTGAGATGAGTGAGGAGCGAGTGGTGAAAAGCGTTCCTCTTTTGAAAGCATGGGCGAAAGTGACCGTTCGGCGCGTCACTAAAGTCGTCACCACTTGACGAAATGTCATTTTGACACGGTAATTTTGTCACATCATCGGAGTAGTATTAAAATCTACGTCGAATGTACATAGTGGTTATGCTGGGAGCTCCGGGCACTATAAGAGGTTCCCTCGTTAGATTGAGAACAAGTGGGGTCCGTGTCACAATTTCTATTCCCTTTGGTAGGAAATCCTTTATTGGTAAATTGCCAGATCTTTGTCCCCCCACAACAGCGATTTGAGGAAGTCGTGTTGCACAAATTTTTTGGTTTGAGAATATTTGCTGTAAGTAAGCAATGTGTACAAACTTATGAAATGTACATTTTCATCCACATTTATCTGTAAAGATGCGTCTTTGTTATGTTATTGATGAATGATACATATTAAGTCGTCCATGCAATTAAAGGTTAGTAACAAAAAATCGTAGAGATGGAAAATAAGTGCCTGGTCATAGGAGAATAGGAGATGATACATACATATGTTTGTATGGGGGATTGAGTAAGTAATCAGGCTGAAGGCAATAAATATAGTTCTCCACTGTTAATTGCTGGCATCTGGTTGCTTGCTGTTTCTAAAAGCTGAGTGGCTTTTGCAAGTTTCTATTTGAGCTTCTTGAATATCTTTAAGTTCTTCTTATTCAGTTACATTCTCTGCAGAGGAAGTTTGATCTATTTATCTCATATTTATAATTGCTTTGTTCATGCTCTGGTTTAAATTGGTCTTTTTTAAAAATGATTGGATTTTATTCCAACCTCCAGTGGCTACACAGGCTCAAAATGAGGCAAGTATAAGATATATTAAATCATACATGTTACACTTAAAATGTTGCAATTGAACACTAATTGATACCGAATACGAAATAAAGCAAGTAATTAACGCTTGTTATTGCATATGTATAATGTCGAGTAGGGGGGGGCATGAAAACTGATAGTCGCGGACCTTTTCTAGGGTTGTTACTTATTTTTCCGGGAATGGGAATTATCCGAGACTGAGTTTTCCTTCGGATTCAACGAATTATCGCTCCCCCGGAACAGATTAGGTAGAATAATTAGATTTATATATGTTGTAGTGCCTATTTAGTAGTTTAAAAATTAATTTATGTAATTAACTACGGATTTATTTTATACCATCCAACAAAAATATGGTTTATTCCAACCAAAATTAATAAATTCGCCAATCATGAGATGAGCAACCAATTGATTTATTTTACAACAATTTTCATTAAAATTTCCAACGAAATAATTTCCTCAAAAACAAGCTTGTAAGCTGTCTGTCTGTCTGTCTGTCCGTCCGTCTGTTAAAGATTTTTTGTTAAAGATTAACTACCTGTGCGTGTTGCTGTAAAACATTGTAAAATTTTGTGAGGTTTACGAAACAAAGTAATATTAACGACTGTATCAACTTAGAGGTAAGCACAGGTTAAGGCAACAACTGACATATATTCGACATATTATAATTAAAGCCATTTGTACCCCATGCTTTCCTTATGTAAAAACGGCTTTTATTAATTATGCCTATAGTTCCAACCCTACCGTTCGAGAAAGCGTCGCCTCCTCGTTGGTTGTTAATTTGTAATATTTAATTGGCGATTTTAAATATGATAATGTAACATGATATAGAAATATAATATATGCAATGACATTGTATAATAATAATTTATATCTATTTATATGTAATCCATGTAACAATATAATAATGAAATATGTAAATACGATCAAGGAAATTGCAATGAATTCAAGTGTTTCGATTAAAAAAGCCATGTCACCAAATTCTGTCGTTGTTTGTTGCCGAATTATTGTTGTTTGTTGTCAAGGGAGAGAGTGAGTCCTTCTACTCGAGTGAATCTTATTGTTTGGGGAACGTTCTTATATAACGTCATCAAAATTTTGTACATAACGCACCTAGCCCATTAACATTGTAGCAAATGTTAACCTTGCGACGAGCAAGGAGGGCATCCAAAAACCACGCACCCACCTTTTATACGACATAATATATGTACGTTACCTTATTTCATCGTGGAAGCACTTTAGTGTAAAGAGGAGTGAAATTTTGTATTTGTGTTGAATTTAGGTATGTAATCAATTTATTTTGAGGAGATGAAGGTGCCCGTGAGAAAATAAAGTGTGTCATTAATATATAGACATATGTATGTGTACAAACAGATTTTGTAGTGGTGTTTGGAAACAATGAAACAAATGTACAATAAAACAATTGCTCTATAGTATCGTATCTAAAAGCAATGAAAGTCATTGAACTAGAAGGAGTCATGCATACGTTTCAAAATATTTGAGAAATTAATTACTGCTTATGCAAGAGTAACGACTTGTACGCATACATAGGTATGTGTGTATGTATGTAAAAAAATTTTCCTGACATGACTTTTGAGGAATTAGGGAATTATAAAATTTTAAATATTTCTGAAATAAAGTGTAGTTTTGATTTTTTTATTTCATCATAAAATAGAGTGAGTCCTATAGGAACCCCATCACTAGGGAGTTTAATGGCGGAGTCGTCAAAAATGGGTTTAAAAATCCGAAATTCGCGCAGAATCTGCTAAATATATCTAGCCACGCACCCCCAAAATTTCATAAGTTTTCAATCAAACAAAAATTTCCCACATCATTTCAAAGCGACGAACTCGAGAATCGAGTTTTTGTAAGTACCAAAATTTGTGGGACAACTACTCGAAGAACACTTGACTACATTTCAACGGAGAAGGGCTTGGCTGTGCAAAAACTAAGACTTACAGAAAAAAGTATGGAGAATCGGAAAATGTCGACCTCAAATACGCATCATGAGTAAATACCATCATAATGACCGCTTGAAAGTTAAAAACGATTGAATTTGTTTTTGGAGAGTATCACTCCATGTCAGTGCCTGATACGGCCAAGAATTCAAAGATTAATATAAACTACGTGCATCATATTAAGGCCCATAATTTGTGGGTCAAAACGTATGCAAAGAAATCTGTACCAGAATATACGGAACGTCAAGAATAAATGGTAAACGCAAGACTTCCCAAGCTTTACAGCAAATTTTCACCAAAAAAGTTGGACATCGGCCACGATTCCTACGTCGTTAATAACTTCACAGAAATTCTGAGGAGGTAATTTTTTCATGGCAAATATATATCTGAAGTGAAAATCGACGAGAAATTAAAATGTTTTTAAAAATTTCCCAAGAAATTCTCGATTTGCTGGTGTTGGGCCAAATTGGGCATGTTTGGGACCCCTAAGTTCGCATGGACTGTGTGGGAGCACAGGTTAGTTTCCAGAAATGTGTAATAGACCGTCTGATTTCTTTCATACAGAGGTATCATAAAATACAAAATGTAATTTTTTGGACCGACCATGGACCATTCCACCATGCAAAAACTGTCATGGAAAAAATCGGAAAGAAATTAAGTTTGATGTTGAAAAATAATCACCTCACATTCAACCCTTATCTTCGCACAATAAAAAAATGTGGGCCGTATGTAAGAAGACATACTCCCAGCTTTGTGAAACAGTCGATACTTTAAGAAAATCTCGATTGAGGTAAGAGATAATTAGCAATGAAGTTGCAAAGTCTTCCGAAAATGCAGTAATGGCGGACGTGTAGAAGAACATTAAATACGAGATTGACTATGGACTGAAGTCTTATTTGTTCCGGAAATTGGATGCTAGATATATTTATAATATTTTGCAAAGAAATTGAGATTTTAAAAATCATTTTTGACCATTTTCTGACCGAAATTCCTAGTGATCGGGTTCCTATAGGACCCGCTCTATGTATGATGTTTTACTACTTTAACTGAATCTACTTTATGCATATTTAATATCAGTTTTTGATGTATTAATTATGAGTTCGAATCGTTAGTAAAAGAAACAATTGACAAGTTCCTGAAGAATATTTGCTTGAAAATTGATACGAATTTGCGTATCTCTAAAGCTGGTATGTTAATTTAGGTACCTCTAACCTTTTTTCAAAATTATTGTATTGTATTGTAAACCTTTATTCAACTGTCAACAAATATCAGCTAATATAAGCTGGTTTCCAATCCAATCCAATTATGTGGCGAAACTCGACATGACTACCCTCATCATTTGTATATTTGTTAAGCTATAAGGTTGAATTTAATATTCACGTCATCCTTTATCCCATAAATTGATAACATGGGATTTTGCAAATGATAAATATTTATAGTAGTAGAATAAATAATAAATTTCTATTAGCCTTTTTTGGTCAATATTCACTAATCCTTTCGCACATTGAATTGATTGATATCGTAAACTTGATCATGGCACTTGGCGTTTTTCGAGCACAGCGTCACCTTATTCGTTCCTTTCCGTTCGATGCGATATTTCTACAAATAATAAACATAATTTTATGACTTTCAACGATTTTGGGGAATTTCTGTGTCTTCTATTTTAAGATACCAATGGTCGCGGTGGTCCCGTATTTCTGACTGGAATAAAAATAAAAATTATTGATATATCTTTACATTCCTAAAAAAATGTAATCCTTTCGAAAAATAAAGGCAATTTTTGAATTTTATGTTTGGTAACCTATACAAAATCTGAGGAATGTTAGCTTAAAGGAAAATAAAATTTAGGCTGAATTTTTGGTAGTTTACTTCAGTCGGAATTCTGACTGCATTTACTTTTCGAAATGCCAACATTATTTTTCAGAATGTCTTTTTTTGCATCGCATTTATTATTTTAAAACTTACGGATTCTCTCCTCCCCATGGTGACCCTCACCATCTCGATACCCGGGTTGATATCTGACTTGTTCAACGATTCGAGGAGCCGGATCAGGGGCAGGATCGCTGTGCCCAATATTTCCACTGACGTCCTCATAATTGTCATCGAATGAGAATCGATCGAAAGTTGGTCTCGCCGCGACATGGGAGACAAATATCGCGACGGAAAACTGGTTTTTATGTACACAAAAATTTAAAAAAAACATGCAGTTTTACAATTAATGACGGTCCTGGTAACATTGTAAATGCGTAAACTCTGTAAACTTACAAACTTTTACAAATGTTTTTCAAGAAAATTGAATTACAAAATTCTGTAAACTTGCTCAGATCAGGTAGGAATCTTTATATTGTAAAAGTTTTTAAAATTATTTTATGAAGTTTACGGATTTTGCGAGTTACCAAGGACACAGCGAATCGCCTTAATATTTCTTTTAATACACAAAACTCACCAGAACACAAGCGATCTCCATGTGTATCATTTTTTATTAAATGACGTGTCTCATTTATTAGTTAAAATTTAAAAAAAATTATTTAATTCAATAACTACTTTAGTATGCACACTGCCACCACTTTTCATACGACATGCTTGGAAGGAGGTCTGTTAAATAGTGGTGAGCAATATGAACAGTGTGGATTTAATAGCACACCACGTTTGCATGATTTGCATGCACTTCGCATAATACGGCATGACGGATTGCCATGTCATGACGGATGGGGGATGCGAAATTTTATGTAGGGACGTTTATGCATTTATACGCGTTTGTTGGGTAGGATATGCAAATGTGATATTGTGCGGTGTGTCAATTACTCTGCAAGGATCTGAAAAACACTGCGATTTGCTTAATTGTTTTTTGTGTTTTAAAACTTACTTGTAAGGTAGCACTAATTTTTTCATTACTTTTCTAAGTATTTCCATAGTTCAGAGAAATGGCCCACCTTAAGAAAATAAATTTATAGTGTATTTATTTACATGAGTACACGCCCAGGAACCCAGTATTAAAATAATACCAAGCGGTATTCACATACGTGTGTATGTACACTGCTAAAAATGTGGTAAGTCATATGTAAAGTTCGTGATGGTATTGATTTGGTGATAACTTATCACGAGTTGGTATTATGTAGTTTGACTCTGACTGGTAAGTTTTCATAACCACAACGGCATACTTTATTACTACACGGTAATTACTGGACCGGCTATGCAGCAGGTCGATGATGTTTCAATAAAATTTTTATAAGAGTGTATGATAAGTACCTATGACTCTAACAACGTTGTGCTAAGTAGTTTACATTGATGCGACCGTTTATATTGCGACAATTTGTTCCCAACCGAGTAACAGGTAGGAAATATAAACAACGAAAAGGAGTAAAATTCGAAAGAAAATTATTCGGTATTGTTGCCTTTTAACCAAGGTACTCGAGTATTTACTGGGTTTGCTTTGCTCCTGGCAGGCTATGGTTCACGCCGTATTTAACACTTGAGTTCCCACGTTTTTGCAGTGTTAAGCAGGAAGCTGACTTCTGCCTTGGAATATATGTATTTAGACGCTGATTAAATAATTTTGGTCTCCATTCACTGTGTAAGGCTACAAATTCAATTTAGAAAAAGGTTACCTGTTCCTGAAAGTGAGCAAGTATGATATAGCAAAATTATGAATATGTAGTTAAGGTGTTTTAAGTAGTCTTAGTTAAGTTTTTCTTTGTAATATGGACTTAATCAACTATAACATTGTATGCTCAGAGACTGCATTAGCATCAAATTGCATGTGCAATTATTAAGAAAAAAAATCTAATTTTGGACAGATAAAATAAAATAAAAATTTCATGCGTTAATTTAAACTAATTCGTTTCTTTCTACAAACTATTTAGCGTCTCCTGAGAATTGGGCATGATTATTGACACCTCGTTCAGCTAAATTGTAGGAGATGACCTAGGCACCACTGAGCATTTTGAGGGTTTTTAATGCATTCCTCATTCTTTCCTAATAACGAAGATTTCCAAAGAACGAAGGTTTTAAGGGCGGAATATGAGTTTATTTCAACCCTTTTTCATAAGAAACTAAGCAAAGCAAAATGTATAAAAAAATTTTGTTGTTCGTTTAAAAAAGCATCGATCTGAATTTTCAAATCAGAAACAAAGCAATGAAGGCACTTAGCCGGATTTAACTATTGTTCATCTATTAAAACCGTGTGATGGTCGCCATCAGTTTTGCATGAAAAAATGATTCGACTTTAATAGATGAACAATAGCTTATATTTATGCAAAATAATTTAACAAATCCAGAGGTTTAATTTAACAAATTATTATTATTTAATTGTATCACAATTTTTGACAGAAGTCTAGTAAGTGTTACCTTGAGTAACTTACATACATTTCAAAAGCATATGCATAATATGCATATGCTTAACCTAAGTATTATTTAGATTAAAGTATATATTTACATACATTTCAATATACATAAACGACAGCTTTTACTTCAAACTGAGATTACTAACGATATAGTATAGTATGCCATCAGAGCAAAAAATTCTGTCCTTGTTTCTCTCTGCACATAGAGAAATGGACCTAGACAAATTTTCAGCGGCCTGCATCCCTTCAAATGTCTTGCGGTGTAAGTAGACCATCCCTGAGCCTGAAAAGACCGGAGAAACTCTAACAACATCTCTTGAAAACTTGACATCACGGGAAGTGATATGTTGCTGACACTGAGGTCCACGCATAACATTGTGACAGCCATCAAGATAAAGGCGTGTGGCACTAGGCCAACCAGCTTTATGGCCGCGTAGACACTTAATGTTACCACAAAGAACTGGGCAAGTAGGGTGACAGGAAAAATATAATAGAGAAATTCGTTCGTATGAAAATTTAGTAGCTGAAGCTGTCTGTATGTTCTCATGCAGCTGATGTAATCCGCAATGTCTCGAATTTTTGATGCGTTGTTAATCTTCGCTCTAACAGTCAATTTCTGAAGGTTGTTTATCAGCGACAACATCATATTAATGATTATAATCACAGCCCCGAACATGATCAGGCTAGCATGAAATGTAGTCGGGAAGAGGATTAAAATTCGGCAAAATATCTTTGATTTCGGTGATTGAAGTGTAACCGGTCGAAACCAGAGGTACGAAGGGTCCATATTGGGTCGTAGAATTATAGCTGCAACAAGTAAGCGTTAAATCGATAAGTACAATGCACACGTGAAGAAATAAGCCGAGGAGACCGGATCGTTGTTGAGAGGTGACTAAAACAAAAGAATCAAACCTTTTAGGGACATGATTAACTACACAGAAATGTGTTAATTTTTTTACAATTTCATACGTATGTAAGATAAGATAAGATAAGATTTATTAAGTTATCCTTTTAAAGGCCTCATCGGGCCCATGAAGGTACAATTAATGTGTGTATTTTTAATATTGAGCTAAGGAGAGTTCTAATATTAAATGTGTATTGGGCGATTGTGTGGTGTAAGCTCTAGACAGTTTTTAATAAAAATTGAGATTGGGAAAAGAAAAAAGATTTAATTTGTGATACTTCAATTTAATTAAAGAGTGTGTGGGGTTAGGTATGTAAGTGTTTGTGATGGGATGGATGGTCTTGAAAGTTGCACTTGGGGTCGGGTGACGGAGAGGTGGGCGTGGTGGCGCAGATTGGGGGGCGGGGGTAGGTCCTATGTGGTGGCCGGGGCGATCTTCCTGTTTAAGATGGGGGTGGGTTGGGTAGCGGAATTTTGGCACGGGGGGGAGGCGTGGGCTGATTTGGGGGGTGGCGTCAATAGTGGTTGATGTCGCTGGCGCTGCGGCGGCGTTGGTGTTGGCGTGGGGGGAGTCGTCGGGTTTGGATGACACCGGTGATGACGGAGATGATGGCAGTCATCAGGAGAGCGACCAGGCAGATTTTTTGTGTGATGTTGAATTTTTCAATGCTTTCGTGCACCTGCACTTGATGCTCGCCTTGTTGGGTGAGGAGTTTGTGGTTCTCACGTTCGAGGTAGGCATTCAGAACGGAGTATTGGAGGATGGAGTTGTACACATTACTGTACTCGAATCCGTTCTTGGACGTGAAGTCCCCAGCCGGTCCCACCGCATTGTGCACATGGGCGATGAAGTCGCTGACACCGAGTCCGCCTTTGAGTACGTTGGCTAACTGTCCGTATGGGAAACCCATGCTGTGGCCGAGAAGCCCGATAGTGAGGAAGAGAACGGCAGCGACGTGATTCATAGTACTCGTGGTGGTGGTGGTGGTGTAAGCTGCAGTCAGCGAGTGTTTCGTGTGAAGTGGACGTGGGTAATCGGAGCTGAGGAGAGTGAAGAGAGAGCAAGTGGTGGCTTGGGAGTGAAGATATGCATTCGCTGTGTCTCGTATTTTATGCATCCAGGCTAGGAAGTTCTTGTATGTGCATGAGGCAAGTGTTGACGAACCTCGCGAATTTTAAACATTCCTCTTTTGTTGTTGGATTGAGTATGTTGCTGAATTCGGCGGATGTTGGGATTTGTGTGCTGCTGAAAAATGCATTCCTTGGTTCGATGTTTAAAGGGCAACTGCATAAGATGTGCCAGAGAGACTGGGGCTCAATTTTGTTACAAAAGTTACATGTCTCATTATAGTTGATGTGCAGCATTCCGAGTGGAGTGTAGAAGGTTCCTTGCCCAAGACGACATTGAGCAATTAATCTTAATGCGCGGAGTGGAATGGGGACGCTGGTGTATGCAGCTGCTGTTTGGAATTTCGGGGTCAAGTGTGAGTAATAGTTAAAGCGTTCAGAGTTAGTTACTCGGTTGATGTCCTCATTCCTTTGTTGTAATTTGCTCGCGTCGAGGATTCCTTGCATTGCTTGAGTTAAGGCGGATGAGGTCAGGTTCTGCATTGATAGGCTGGGGGCGTGCTGGGTTAATAGTGCAACGATTTGCTGGAACCAGTTATATGGGTCAGATGTCTGGTTGTATGTAGCTCTAGCTTGTAGTGCTTGTAGGCATTGGCTGGTATAACGGGCGGAAGGATGATCCAGTATTTTGATTAGGTAGCGCAATGATTGTGCTAGTATGGTAGGAGTCATGCTTGGACGGTCGAGTTCGAAACGCAGTGCGTAGCTCGGGGTGCCATGCGGGAGGCCCAGAAGCCGGCGGTGGAATTGATACTGAATTTTTTCGATCTCACTGAGGTAACGCAGGCTCCAGATATGGGCTCCGTACAGCGCGGTTGATGTGACAAGGGATTGGAAGAGTTGGTATTTCTTGGGGAAAGCTTCCAGTCTGGCGCGAGTGAAGATATTCCAGGTGCTTCCCAGGGCAGTTAGACCTTTCTTCTTAAAGTGCTGGGCTGCGATGTGGAACAGTCCAGAGGATGAGAGGGGCACTCCAAGATATGTGTATTGCTTGACAATTTCTATGGTTTCCCCTTTGTAGGTGAAGTTGAGGCCTTTTTTGATGTTGCCTCCACGCCTAAATATGATTATCTTCGTTTTGTCGAGGTGCACTTTAAGGGCGAGGAGGTCAAAGAATCGGGTAAGGCATCTAATTTTCATTTGCAGGCCTTGGGAAGAGGGGCTCATGACGATCATATCATCGGCGTATAGCAGTATGTGCAGGGCAAGTTGGGCAGTGATTAGAATGCCTTCGGCCTGGAGGTCCTTAAGGGTCTGTTCAATGTCGGCGGTATAGAGGGAGAACAGAAGGGGGCTCAGGACGCAGCCCTGGGCCAACCCTTCTGTGATGTCAATGGGGTCAGAGAGCCCTTCAGTCATCCTTATTTGCGTTGCGGACTTTTCGTATATCTTGCGCAGGATACGGATGAATTTTGGGGATACGCCAAGATTATTTAGTTTCTTCCATAATTTTTCATGTGGTACTGATGGGAATGCTCGGGAAA